CACACCGACACACACACAGACACATACATACAAACAGACAGACACACACACAGACACATACATACAGACCGACACAGACACACACACACACACAGACACACACATACAGACTGACACACACAGACACATACATACAGAGACACACAGACACACACATACAAACAAAGACACATACAGTTGCAAGAAAAAGTATGTGAACTCTTTGGAATGATATGGATATCTGCACAAATTGGTCATAAAATGTGATCTGATCATCATCTAAGTCACAACAATAGACAATCACAGTCTGCTTAAACTAATAACACACAAAGAATGAAATGTTGCCATGTTTTTATTGAGGTTCATACCCCTTTCTTGTTTTTAATTTCTTAATTTACTTTCCCACTATGTTACATTGGTTTCAATTTGTTTCTTTTATATGTATTAACCAATGGTACATACTGAGAAATGTATCTTTCTAATATTTTGTTTTATTTCCATTTATCCTCAGTGGGGTTTTTCCACTAAAGAGTTTATGCCAGTCAATATATTGTAAAGCTGCCCTTATTGAAATTGACCTTTTAAAATGATATGTTTTAGTATACCCCATGTGCATTTGGGTTTTTTTGAGTTTATTTCAAAGGATACTATATTGTGATCACTATTTCCCAAGTGCTCCTGTACCTGAATGTTGGCAAAAAGATCAACATTATTTGTTATAACCAGATCCAGACAAGTGTCCTTTCTAGTATGTGCTTGTACAAGTTGTGACATGAAGGTGTCAGCTAACAAAATCTATTTCCCTTTGCTGAACTACTAGTCCCTCTATCCCGATTTATGTTTGTGTAATTAAAATCTCCAATAATTAGCGTGCTATCCAGATTTGCAGCTTTCCCAATTTGCTCAAACAGCTGTTCTTCCTCATCATTATTAATGTTAGGTGGTTTATAACATATCCCAACCACATTTTCCTCATCACATTCCACTTGCTTTAAAATGTGGATTTAACTCATGGTTGACACACAAACATACCCCACCACCTTTCCTGTTTTTTATATCCTTACTAAATAGTGTGTGTAACGGATCACCTGGCGGTTCCATCCTTTTTAGGTACAAGGACTACAGGTGAGGCCCAGGGGCTGTCTGAGTGCTTAATGACTCCTAACGGAGTCATTTCCTGTATCTCCTTCTGCATTCCTTCCCGGACTGCTTCAGCGATACGGTAGGGGGGGTTGTCTGAGGGGTGCTTGTCCGGGGGTATCTAATTTCTGTACTGCCAGGGTAGTGTATCCTGGTTCTTGGGAAAAGGTGGCTTGTTTTTCCCACAGGAGCTGTTTGGCTTACTCTGTTTCTGCGGGGCTTAAACAATCTCCTAACTTTAATAGACTGATGAGATCAGTCTGGGGGTCTCTTTCTAAGAGATCGTGGAGGGGTAAACTCTCAGAGTCGTTTGCACCCTGGAGTTTGTCTACTTTCACAGGTTTAACTGCTAAGACCTTTTGCCCGAAGGATGCTCCGTTACAGTGTGTAACCGTTTAAGTTAACTGCCCAGTCATATGTCTCATCCCACCATGTTTCTGTTATGCCTATTATGTCATATTGTTTAGTGTATGCTATTGCCTCTAGTTCCCCCATTTTGTTATTTAGGTTCCTTGCATTAGTAAGCTTGCATGTAATATTATCATAACTCACTTGTCTTTTATGTGAATTTTTATTACTATTACATACCTCCTCTGTTCCCCATCTCCACCCACCTTGTGCTGAGCTAAAGCCCATCTCCTTTCTGTCCTATCTCCATTTTGTAGGTTAGTACGTCCCTCCCCCCCCATCACTAGTTTAAAATCTACTCCAACCTTCTAGTAATCTTGTCCCCCAGTACTGCAGACCCTCTCCCATTTAAGTCCCATCACGGCTATAAAGATCGTACTCAAGCGCAAAATCGTCCCAGTGCTCTAAAAACCAAAAACCCTCCTTCCTGCACCAAGACTTCGGCCACGCATTGACCACTCTAATTTTCCGCTGCATTTCCACTGTAGCACTTCAAAATACTAACTTAGAGGTCCTGTTCTTAAGTTTGCTACCTAAATCCCTGAACTCATTCTTTAAGGTCCTCCATCTTCCTCTAACTTTGTCATTGGTACCAATATGAACCAGGACAGCCGGATCATCTCCAGCCCGTCCTAATAATCCGTCCCACTCTGTCATCAACATGCCAGACCCAAGCACCCGGGAGACAGCAAACTGTCCAGTTGAGCCAATCAGAACTGCAGTTTACCCTATCTACTCTCTTTATAATGGAGTTCCCTACCACCACAACTGTCATTTTCATCCCCACCCGCACCACTTCCTCTAGTACAGCTACTCCTGATTCTGATGCTCCCAACATCTTCACTCAAATGGGCAAACCTGCTGGGTTGCACAAAGTCAGAATTAGCTCGCCCTTTCCTCTTCCCTTCTTCCCCCCCTGCTACCTTGCCCAGCTGTCACCCAACTATGTTCCTGTTCCCCAGATGTCCTATCTCCTCCCACTTCACTGCCTGCCCACACTAAACGCTGCTTAGTGAGCAGCAGACTCCTCTCAAGATTGTTGATCTCCCACAGTGTCGCAATATGCTTCTCCAGATCTCCAATCTGAACTTCCAGAGAAGCCATTCGCACACACCTCTCACAGAGGTAAGGACCCTGGATGGATAAATGCATGGATAAAAGACATGCACTGAGTCAGACCAGCAATCTTGCTAGCACTCATTTCCACAGTTACCAAAAACAGGACAAGTTAAGTTAAAGGGAAACTGTAAAAAAAACATTTTTTAAATTTAGTTGCCACGTTATAGTCTTATTTTAGGATTATGGACCTCCCTTTTTGCATCATTTTCACTTACATATTATATTTAAAAATGACCTAGAATCCAGCACCGATATCTCTAACTCAATCCACCTTCTCTGTCTTCATAACACTATCTTCTCTTTATCCAATAAACACTGCTCATAGATGACCCAATCCACGAGTCAAATTATAATCATTAAAAACTAACACTGCTCCATCAGTACCATTGAGTGTTATAGCACATGTTTTCGGTGCGCATGTTCAGGACACTGTAGGTGCATTCTGTCAGGAACATGTCTGGCGTCTTCTTTGCTCCATTAGCATTTCTCTCATTGACTGCTAGTTCCTTCTTTTCGTGTGCATATTTCCATTTCGGTTTGCATCATTTCAGACACGCTATCCAGTCGTTGCATGTGATGTCAGTCTCAATATTGACTGTTTAAACCTCAGTGCTCTGTTAGTGGGCTGCCAGTTCATGGTCCTTGCCTGGTTGTCATTGCTTGCAATTCTCTGGTGCTCCTGTCCTGATTTACAGTGTTTGACCTTGCTTATTCTTGGCTAGTCAGACTAAGTTGCTCTCTGGTTCCCTGACTTCGGCTCGTATTCTAGTTTACTCTGCTCTTACACCTTACGGAGTGTTTCTTTAAGTTAAGTCCAGCCACTCTCAAGCTTAATAATACTTAATGTTATCCCTGTTCTAGACTGCCATTAGGGGATCTCTGATTCACTGACATGTTCACAATGCATGCAATGTCATAATACTACATTCGAACTGCAGGATTGTTATGAGGCAGTGCCTCAAATGACGGTCTGAGGGAACAATGTAAACACTGCCTTTTCTCAGTCTACAGGGGGTGTCTTTTTGTGTTAAAAAAAATACTATATTAGGCTGTATTAGTTCTGGTGTTTAGAGTGTCCCTTTAAATTTTAAGTCTGTTTGTGGTGTATTTCAGTTTGAAAGTTGCTCATACAGAATTAAAGCACAGCGATGCTGGAGTTGTAACTCCACCACGGTCAGCCTTATCAACCAGTCCAAATAAGCCCCCCCTCCTTGATGTCACTGGAGGAGGATTGGGCTACTTGGAGCCTTGGCTCGAGATCTAAGGTAAGATTTTCCTTTTTTTTTTCTTTATTATTTTTTGTTATGGGGGAGGGCATGCCAGTAAGAATTACTTTAACTAAAAACAGTGTTTTATTAAAACACTGTTGTTTGGCTGGAATAAACTTTTAACAATTTTTCTTTCTTTATCTTAGTAGGATTTTGGTTTTATTTTTATTATATATATAGAGATAGAGATAGAAAGGCGCACACCAACTGGTTATTTTATAATAGGCAAAAATTTGTTTCCAAGTTGTAATGTGTTTAGATGGTGTTGCAGAAAACCTGATGCCCTGATATATTTCAAAGTTTAAAAATTATTCTGTTTCATATGCCCCATATATCTGATATGTTATGAAATAATTTACACATGTGGTCTTTATATATAAAAATTAGGAGACCACTGCAAAATTATCATTTTTTTCTGGTTTTACTATCTAGAAATATGTGTTTGAGTTAAATTCACTTTTTCTTTTTCATTTTATAAAAACAATTTCTCCCAAATTCCAAATGTAAATATTGTATAAATATTGTATATTTTGAGCATTTATTTATTGAAAATGACAAGTCATCAATCCGACAAAAAAGATGCAGTGTTATTCATTTAACTTCGGAAGAGTTCAAAAATCAGTATTTGGTGGAATAACCCTGATTTTTGACATACTCTCCACCAGTCTTTCACATTGCTGTTTGGTGACTCGATGCCACTTCTAGAGCAAATATTCTAGCAGCTAAGCTTTATTTGATGCCTTGCAACCATCCATCTTCCATTAGAACATACGCTAGATGTTTTCAAGGGGGTTCATGTCTGGAGTTTGGCCTACAACAACTGGGATTTGATCTGATGCTCCTCCATCCACACCTTGATTGACCTTGCTGTGTGGCATGAAACATTGTCCTGCTGGAAAAATCCAATCTTTGGAGTTTGGAACATTGTTAGAGCAGAAGGAAGCAAGTTTTCTTCCAAAATAAACTTAAAGGTTGTTTCATTTATGTGGCCCTACTCCAGCCTAGCATTCCTAGATAGTGATGTCCCGAACGGTTCGCCGAAAGGGTTCGCCACGGACAGCGAACATAAACATAAACTTTGACTCTGTACCTCACAGTCAGCAGACCCTCCCTCCCAGACCCTCCCACCTCCTGGACAGCTCACTAAGAATGCAGCTTCACAATGAATGCAAAATGGATGCTGTCCAGGAGGTGGGAGGGTCTGGGAGGGAGGGTCTGCTGCTGATTGGCTGGAATGTGTCTGCTGACTGTGAGGTACAGGGTCAAAGTTTATGTTCGCTGTCCGTGGCGAACCGTTCGGGACATCACTATTCCTAGATCATCACTAATCCTCTACTATATTTCACAGTTGGTGTGAGACACTGGTTTGTAGGCCTCTCCATGGCTCTGTGTAAACATTAGATGAACAGGTGTTAGGCAAAGCTAAATATTGGACTCATAAGAGAAGAGGACCTTACTAGAGTTCTCTATGGTCCAATCCTTATGGTCTTTTACAAACCTAAGTCATGCTCTTTTTTGCATTGATTAAGGCCTTTTTTCTAGCTTTGCATGACTTCAGCCGTGCCCCTAGGAGTTATTTTGGAAAGTCCTTGCCATGCACTTCCCTGCAACTGCCATTTGCCATTCTTTTTGTAGGTCATTGAGGTCAGTTGATGTCATCCTACAGATGTTGAATCATTCTGGTCAGTGGTGAGTGATATTCACCATATGCCAGTCTGTACCTAGGTTGTACCCAGTGTCTGTTGTTCGATCTAATTCTTATGAAATGCTGTCTTTGAATTTTAAGGATGCAAATAACCTGATGCCCTTTGCCAGTAGAGTCAACATTGAACTCTTCTTTTCATGACTCAAAACCTTTATATTCAACTCCTTTGGCATTGTCAATAGTTTGTTTGTTTTTTATTACGATTATTTTTGTGGTACTACTAGCACTGTCTTTGTCATGCAGATGGTCCTATTGCAAGAGGGTAGTTCTGAGCACTGCAGTGTTTTTTTATACTTATTCTCATTACCAAGATTTGGTTCAGGTGATCACCTAATCAGTACGTCATTAAGTAGAATGAGGTATGCTGTTATTGAAATTAAACACTGTAATGGAATGGCTTGCATACACGTTGATATGATGATTTAAGAAAAATATTGGAATGGTCTTGTATAGCTAAATTTAAAAAGATTTGGGGGGTAAAAAAAGCAATGATTGGTTTTGGTTGCTGAATTCATATATATATATATATACCACTAGAATGATTTTTCTTAATTCAGCAGGTAGATCATTTTTTTTTCCAATACCTGTACTGCACAATTGGTGGTCACCTTTGCCTGGAATGCAAAGATTACACTATACCATGGAGGGGGAATTTACATATTCCAGTCTCCCCAAGATTGGAAGTTATTACGAGATGAAGGATGCTATATGCAACAGCCACTATTTAATTTCATACTCCTCCTGGAGTATGTCAGGAGAGGAGCTGGCAAGACAGAAAGTAAAGAGCACAATTCTGTTTCTGTAACTCTGCTGCTAGCAAATAACTATTGAGAGAGGGTTGATGGCAGCAGCTGCCTACAAGGAGTGTAACTCCCAATAATATTTGGCAGACAGGGACAGGTTATGATCAAAACATGGTCTGATCTTCATATACTCCAGTGTAATGAGGAAATGTGTTATTTATTCAGAGATCAACCCAGACAAGGGGGAGAAATCTTAAGAGAATGTTTGTCAATGCTGACTCATGTGTCACAGCGACAGTTGTTCCTCTCAGACCCACAAATGTAACTTTCCCATGATTCAATTGCAACCTTTGATAATTTTGGGAGACACCTGCTTTCACACTTGAACAGGCCAGAACTGTAAGCTTAAAGGCTTTTATACCTGCCAATCAAACAGGCATTTTCATGTACTAATTGAAATGCCCATGCAGTTTGGGTCATGTTAGCAAGACGATTTATGCCCTGAAAGAGTGTGCCAATACAAAACCAAAAGGAATCCACAGGCAGACAATCTGTTGCCAAACACATCATATTTCCAAACTGCATTACCACATTCTGGAAAGCTAACTACTTCTTACTATGAGGGTAACAGAGAAAAGATTCTACTTGAGAGAGGTCACATGAATGCACTTGTTGATACAGTATCATCCTATGGCCTTAATAAGAAGCTGTAACTGCACTGGTTTCTTTAATAAGTGCTTCTGTTAGTTGGCACCCAAGAAAAGGGAAATTAGAATTGTACTTACACCTCTCACCTTCAAGACTTCGCCAGGGCTGCGCCAATTCTTTGGAACTCCTTTCTCTGCTGTATTAGATTCTAACAGTCTCCAATCTTACAAAAAGTTACCATTTAATTGACTGGGCCACCCTGCAAGGGTTAAAAGTTAACTCCTCGAGAGTAAACCTACCTTGTTTTCCATGCCATTCTGCTCTTTCCGCTGTTGGTCCCGCCTCCTTGGCTGAGATCAATGGGATCAATAAACTAAGCCTATCCAATGCTTTCCGATAGGAAAACCCAAAACGTCATGCTGCACCAATCAGATAATTTTCTAATGCCACCTGACTAAGATAGAGTTTTACTCTGCTGTTTTCTGGAAGCGTCTGGTGGCTTTCATATTGACAGCCACTTGAGGTAGGTTAACCCTTCAAGGAAAACATTGACTTAACATTTAAGCACTGCAAGGACACTGGTGCAACATGGACAAGTGCTGCATCTCATAGGTAATCAAGATGCAGCTATACTGGTGTCACTTGGTGGGTTCTATGACAATTACATCCCAGAACTGATTTTAAGAAATAGAATGAAATCCCAGAAAAATGTATTTAATTCACCTCAGGTTTAGATGCATTTTATGGATTCCTCTGGCTAGGCAGCAAATGTGTTTCAGTAGCCTGGAGGTTCTTGCAAGGTGAGAGGTAACATAAGTTAACAGTGTTCAGTTCATGTACAGGAATGTGGCGATTATCATTGCTATTCTGTAGGAAAGAATGTAGAATGTCAATCCCAAATTATTTCAGGCAATATCCAGAGGGGTTTAGCATTTTGCTACCTTTCCCAGAGCTAATTTCCCCAGCCCAACCTTTAACATAGACTTTCTACAATCTTCACTGCAGAACCAGTTTATGAATGGTGGGGGCGGGAGGGATAGTTCATTTGGTTTAAAACATTTAAAAAAAAAAAACATCCCAGTTAGTGCTGCATATATAAATATGCAGCAAATGGCAGATAAATGTATAGTTACGTTGGGAAGATGATAAAAAAAAAAAAATTGTCAAGAAATCTGAATACTAAGCAAATGTCAACAGCCCCTCTAAATCAGTCTTATTTCTACCACATCCTGTGCTCTGTGAACAGCAATTAAGTGTATGAATATATGCATATATTTTGCAGAGAATCTGCTGTAACAAATACTGTGGTGACTTCCTACAGGTTTATATTATATATACGAATTACCACATAAAAGAATTTTTTATTTAGAAAATATTTTACCAGGAAAGATACATTGACATTTCTCTCGTTTTCAAGTATGTCCTGGGGCCACAAAACATTGCATCGTTATAGGGTACAGTGTGGTAAAGGTGCCCTATTACATCTACAGTGGCAAAAACTGATTCATCAAGTAAGATAGCAAGCATATGAAGCCCTGAAAAAAGCATTTATTTTAACTAATGAAAACCAACGCTGGAAAAGTAGGCCCATGACAAGTAAAAAAAACGACCAAATTTTCTGAATAAATATATATATCTTTATTGAAAATAACTTTGCAATAAAATAGAGTGATGTAACCCAGACAACCGAAGAATTTTATACAATCGTTTTAGACTTTATTGTGCATTGTTTTAACCCATGGTCTAATGGCTTGTAGTGTCTTGCACTTTTTTTTCCAGTGGTATTATGTAAGAGTCCAGTAGATGCAGGGATGACATTAAAGTTCCAGTAAAACGTCACAACAAATAATTCCTACATTGTAGGTAGTGTTGATGTACGTAAGGTATGTGCCTTAGAGATTGCAAAATAAATGTCTACCCCTGGATACATTTTATAAATGATCTCAGACAAACTGAAAGCATGAATTTGCACTTTCATAGACATTTACAATAAACCCCAAACGTATCCAGGAATATATTCATATAGCATACTAGACAATTGTCTTTGTTTTGGGGATGAAGTCTGTGTTTATAATTCCACAAGTTAAACGACCACTATAGGCACCCAGACCACTTCAGCTTAATGAAGTGGTCTGGGTGCCAGGTCCAGCTAGGGTTAACCCTTTTTTTTTTTTATAAACATAGCTGTTTCAGAGAAACTGCTATGTTTATAATAGGGTTAATCCAGCCTCCAGTGGCTGTCTCTTGACAGCCGCTAGAGGCACTTGCGTGCTTCTTACTGTGATTTTCACATGGTCTTATTACACCTAAGGCACTGATAGATGAATGTGTTGCTTTCCTATTCCTTATTTCTACTTGCATGAATGGGAGATCTGGTTTTGATGATGGTGAAATATAAGAGTAGTGACAAATACATTAATAGGGTTTACTAATATGCACAAGGGGCATTAGTGGATGGTGGGTTGGTGAAACATAACACCACTCCTACATGGTATATTATGGGAAGATGTCAAGTGAATACAGGTATACTTAGCATAAAGTAGGTAATGATAATACGTACAGCTAATCAGTTGGTCTATATCCCAATTAGAAAAAACAATATTTTTTTCTTTTAATCAATATATCGGTTTTGTTTTTTCAAACTGGATGGGTTGCTTTGGACATCTTTCTTAGCTATTCTGCTCCTGCCATGCAAGTCAGGTGATACTGGTCCTACTTTTAACCCCCTGCCTTACGCACTAGATAGAATGGAGAAACCTGAACTGGAAATTATGTATTTTCATTGTATAAAGAACAATGCCCTCAATTTAATATTTTTGGATATTTTTTTTTTTTTTTAAACACAGTATTTTTCTATAAACTTTTCAAATGATTTTAATTTTTTTTTTTAAATATTGAAATATCAAAAAATAATATATATATATATATATATATATATATATATATATATAAATATATATATTAAAATCAAAATATTAATTAATTTTAAAAATGCATAAAATTTTTTGAAAAGTTTACCAAAAATATTAAATAAAGGTCAAACGTTAAAAATGTGTCCACTTAACTGTTAATCTGAGATCTTTATTTATTGTTCAGTTTCTAAAACATCCACACAACCAACATGTATGATATTTTTTAAAATAGATGAATGCAGGTATAGCCAGGTTATGCAAGAACTAGGACTGTTTTGGCTTTCAGATTTATGCATCAGTAAGCAAAATCATAGGGATTTATTTACAAAGCAGTGAGTTTTGAAAAAAAAAAAAACAACAAATATATTTAGACCAGAATAGCAGAGTTGGATAAAAAAAAAAAAATCCAGCACAGTTTTTTTAAACATTTTTGCCTAAAAACATAGCAAGTTCAGTATTCACGTGAGTTGTCATCTGACATTTTTAAAACAACTTAGTCAAAACTGACTTTTTCTAACTTGTTTATTTTGGCCTAACCTTTTTGTAACATAACTCAGACACAAAAGCCCAAGCAACAAATCTAGGGAAACCATTTTGAGAGAAACTATTGCTTGAATTGCTTAAAGGGATATTCAAAGCTACCGCAACCTAGATCAGTGGTGCACAACAGAAAGCTAAGGGAACACTAGGGTCAGAAATATTTCTGATCCTTGGTAGTTGGAAGAAAACTTAGGGTGGCAAAGTTGCAATTTTTTAAAACAATATTTATTTAATCAAATTTCTGCTCAGATGCTAGTAAATCTTGGGCCAGCTCTGTCAATGCACCTTTAACAGGTGAAGGAAAACTATACATAAAAAATTATAGATCTCTCAGTGCGTATAATTCAATTGTTAATGTATTGGGTTAGAATATATATGAAATGACTTTCAGAAGAATAAAACAGGATATGATTCACGTTTGTTTCATCCAACACTGTAACCATTATAATGTATAATTTCCAGTATCATTAAATTCTCACATTAAGGATGCAGGTTGTGTGACATGAATACATACATGGGACAGCTCTCCATAAGAGAGCAAACCCGTTTTCCTGGCACTATAGGTCCTTACAGTGCCCCCCTCCCTCATGACCACCCTCACGTGGGGCTGAAGGGGTTAAAATCCCTTCAGCCACTTACCTGAATCCAGCGCCGATGTCCCTTGGTGCTGGGTCAGGCTCCACCCACCCTCCTCCCACACTGGCGTCAGCCGGCAGGGGAAACCTAATACGCATGTGCGGAAATGGCCACGCGCGCATTAGACCTCCCCATAGGAAAGCATTATTTAATACTTTCCTATGGGGAAAATCTAACGCTGGAGGTCCGTGAAGACGTTTTACATTGCAGCAGTAGGTGCAAAAGGGACACAGCACCCAGACTACTTTAATAAGCTTAGGTGGTCTGGGTGCATACAGTGTCCCTTAGCATAAGCAGCAGAATCTGAAAAGTCTGTCTGTTATTTTGCAGGCATTTTATATAAATGGCAGATTATACTTCTCTCTCATCTTTTAAGTTCCATCTCAATATTTATCTTTCTAGTGTCTGCTTTGTTAGTGAAGCCTCCTCAAGAATGAACCACATCAGTTTTATCTGCAAATTCCTTGAAGGCAGCACATACATAGGTGTTATTGGCAGTGACTTCAAATGATTCATGGGATCAGCCCAACTCTTGCACTTGATTTATGTTGAAGATACCTTCAAGTTTTCTATCTCCATCTGTGAAATACATATGTATATTTTGTTTTAGTCTGTTTAGCTCCTTTATTTAACTAGTAGTCTTGTCTATATTGTGAAGTCACATATCTTCAGCTCATACTCATTAATATAAAGTTAGTTGCTTACCTGCAGCGCTAATCGTTTAATACGCTCTTCGCTAATTTCTCCTCTTATGTCTTCCATGTCTTTCCTGCACAGATAGAGTGGACATTATGGGTCATATTCAGTTTGTCTAAGGTATTAAACACAACCAATCTCACTCTACGCGTTTTACCATGTTCCCCCAGCTTATAACCCATCACTGTTCTGCTCCTTACTTGTCACCCTAACCTTTACTATCCCTAAAGAGCAGCTAAAATTGAGAAAGGGAGAGGAAAAAGAGAGAGAAAGGAAAAAGGCATTTGTGCACAATGATAAAAAAAAATGTATGTGCACACCACAAAATAAATAAAATAAAAAACAGGAGAGACCTTTGAAAAGTAAAAGGAATGATTGACAGTAGAGTGAGAGTTAACCATTGTCACTAATGAAATGTTCTACTACTATGAATCCAAATTAGGGGTCTTTCCATGCTGCAGTGAATTGTTCTTAAGAAAAGGTTCATGCTCCCATTTTCCTTGCTACCTTTTCTTTAGGCTTTTATGCCCACCGCATAAAAATTATGACTTCACATATGTGTGTGATGCATGTGTTTAGTGAATATAAGACAGTTCACGTAGCAAACTCTGAATTTTAACAAATTGAATTTGAACTGCAAAACTGAATCTGAAGTCACAGAGTTTAAAAAATTCTCCAACTCAGCTATAGTCACAGCTTGGCTATTTTAGCTTCAAATTCAGAGTTTAGTAAATAACCCTCAAAGGTGAATTCAAAGTGATTTTTAAATAATAGGCCAAAATAGACAATTTGAATAATTAGTCTTGTGGATTTTTATAATGCTCTGATTGTGGTCTAAATTTGAAATTTCCTTTTAACTAACTTTCAATTCCTGACAGTTCACTCCTTAATTAATAACCCTGTATGAATTTGCACCAGCCAGCATTAGCATAATGAAAAAAAGACCTCTTTCATTAATAGTGTTGTATGAGTTCTCTAAGGTCTGCTCTGAGCAAGCTGCAACATATCACAGCTAAGATAAAAGTTATTTATTTAAATTATTAAGCCTTAGGAGAATACACAACAACAGAAGTGTCATATTTAAACAGACTTGAACAAACAGCAGAACTGCACCCACAATGTTTGGTAAGTAAATTCCTTTACCCAAAGCCTGTCTTATTATCATTGCCTGCTTTTATGCTATACTTGATGAAGCAGTGGAATTTTCATAGATAAAAGAAGCAAATGCTTTTAGTGTAAAATAAGGTAATATATTATGTTGAAGAAACTCTGCATAACGTGAGGCAGTGCAGAAACTAAAATACGTCCTAATGTAAGAATTTATAATCGTGCAATTATTTATGTGGTAGTTTTTACAGTTCTCACTCTATTTAACCCCAAAAATAAATGTTATATTACAATTTTCCTCCCCTACTGGAAATATGCTCTCGCCCCCATTTAAGGGACTACTAGGTGCCTTAATTCAGCAGTGGAACAGGAACTCATGGTGTGTGTAGTTCCCATGATGCACTGCATACTCCTCTTACACAGCTCTTCTACTGCTCCAATTGCTCTCGACTTACAGAAGGCAGATTTTCTGAACATTGTGTGACTCTAGGGTAAGGGTAAAATAGGCCACACACATATTTTTAGTTAGGGACAGGGTTGGGCATTAATGGTGGTTGGAGTGTATGGGAGTGAAATAAAATTCGTCCATCTAGATGTACGTGGAATTAGTAAATTAGGAACATAAATGGACGTCTGTGCAAATGTTACACTGTAGATAGCAAGATAGGGAAATCAATAACCAAATCCATCAGATATTTGGATCAAGATTAATGTATCTGTCAAGGAGGAGAGGCTACCCTTTGACAGAGTACCACTGAACAAAATTTGTTTCCCTCCTTACTGGAGGGTAGGGGTTGGTCCCAAAACAGTTCCTTTAAGGACATAGGCAATTGTCCAAGTTCTGAACCAAAACAAAACCAAGAGTTTGTTTGTTTGTGTGTGTTTGTTCTACTGTAATTTAAAGGTTTCTCATAACAAAAAACTATATATAATGTGTGTGGGTGCACTTAAACGACACAAAGGGCTTTCTTTTAATATCCTATATGAATACCTAAAACATTAAGTTTGAATAAAAATGGGAATAATTAATAAACTATTTTTTTTTTTACATTTTACTCATAAGAACTTTTTTTTAAAGTTAGAGAAAAAGAACCCAAACGATTCACATATTCAGTCCTGATTATTAACCCCTTAAAACCGGAGGGCGTACTATTACGCCCTATTCTAAGCGGCTCTAAACGCCACAGGGCGTAATAGTACGCCCTCCGTTTTTTTGTTACTAACCCGGATCGCCAGCGATCCCGGTTGGGGAGACTCACCTGGGATCCCCGCGGCGGATCCTGCCTCCTCCGGCTTCCCCCAGCCATGTGAGAGTGAGGTCCTTGCGAGGACCTCACAATCACATGGCCGGGTTCGCTGGCTGCTGCATTGCCAGCAGGGGGACTGCCTGTAATGACAGTTAGTCCCCTTGCTGGCTGGAAATAAAATAAATTAAAGTTAAAATCAGTGTAAAAAAAATTATATACTTATACACACACACACATACATACACACACACACATAGTCTAGGTGTATTTTACTATTAATATATATATATATATATATAAAATTATATATATTAATATCAAATTACACGTAGACTGATACTGATTAAATATATAATTATTGTTATATATATATATATATATTGATATATAATATAAAAAAAATGTAAGTTAAAAAATAAAATTAAAAAAATAATTAAAAATAAATAATTAAAAAATATATAGATGTGTGTTATTTCGTTCTAACTGTATTGTGATATTAATATATATATTTATATAAAAATACACGTAGAACGAAATAATATATATATCTATTTACATAAATATATACGTATATATCACTACATATAAATAAAAATATATTTTTAAAAATTATATATATATATACATATATATACATATATATACATATATATATATATATACACACACATATATTAATTCTACATATATATTTATGTAATATTTTTACATAATTAGGTATCTTAATTACAATTAGCGGGACCTGTCTGACAA